CCTGGGTCGACAGATTTGGGTTAGTGCCCTAAAATAGCTGTGTAGACAGTGCTTTGAAGTTGTGTCTCAGGCTGGAACTCAGGCTCTGAAGCCTGGGGGCGGGGGCTGGGTTCTGAGCCTGAGCTTCAGCCCCACTGCAACTTCAAAGCCCTGTCTACACAACTATTTTCAGAGTGCTAGCACAGGCCCCACTAGCCCAAGTCTGTCATCTCGGGCTGGGAGCTCGCTGCTGCTGGCTATGTAGACACACCTCTAGATTCTCTGGGCCTCAGTTCCTCCTAATAGTACATCTGTACCTCACAGGGACGTTGTGAGGATAAATGCACTAAAGACTGTGAGCTGCTCAGATACAATGGTAATGGCGGCTGTGTAAGTACCTTAGATGGAGTGGGGTTATGGCACACAATTGAGTGGCTCTGATTCCACTCAGGATAGGCCTCTGGTGCATATGCACACTAGCCAGTTCAGTGCGGTTCTCTGGACCCTAAAGAGTGCAATGAATTATTCCCCTGTCCCTCCTTATCTCTGCTTCCCCGTGAGAAGGAGTTCTTTCAACCAACACTTGTTTTCCTGGTGCATTAAAAACATCCAATCCATTTTAAAATAAAACATTTGCAGGGTAAATACAGGGTAAATATTCACATATTAAGATCATCTTGACTAACCTGACAGCAAACGGGAACAGGTCCCATATGGCACTTTCTGAAAAGAACTCCAGGCTGTTCAGTAAGAATGGCGTTTTCGTCTTTGGGGATGCCCCCTCCGGCTGTTTTTCTGCCCACATTTTATTATTAGGGAGAGGTGAATTATGCGGGTGAAAGATGCCAGAATGACAGCCCTGGAGAACCACACACCTGGTACAGTGTGGGAAGCTACATTGCAAGCTTCCTTCACACACCTTTGTCCACCAGTGTGTCTCAATCATGCAGGGATAAGAGGGTATTTCGGTCTCCATGGACGATTCAATCCTGGGCCTTTTGGCTGATAGCCAGCAAGGAGTGCTACTCAGTGCTAAGGTACTGCTGATGTTTGTGCTTTGTACAACTGGCTTGGTGGCAAAGGAATTGGGATCCACCAACTCATTTCACACTTGTTGTTCCATCCCCTCTGAACAGTGGGGATGCTGCTTTTCACTTTATTAGGCCATGTGCACTCAATTCCTGCACTGGAGGCCTCAGGCATCTGTCGCCTGGATAGATCTTTTTTTTATTCAAACCATAGCAGTGGAGATATTAGTGACGAATACTGCCAGCGAAGGCTTCTAGGAATTGTAAGCATAGGAAAGGAAATGATAGTAGAAACAAAATATCAATTAAAGGTCATTCCAAAAAAATAAAGACACACATGACTTGCTAACTCCGTCACAGAAAGATATTTGTTCCTTATCTGAACACCCCTTTGGTTGGCCAGGAAATCTAGTTCAGCTCGGCTGCTCTTGGGGTTTTATTATTATTATTTCTTTTTGTTAATATAGAACAGAACCAGGAAAGGACTGCACTTTTGTTCTAGGGCTTCCAGGAAGGAACTGAGACTTATGGCTAAATATAAGCAAAGCCTGGTAGAGTCTCCAAACGCTATTAGTCATTTAGCCATTATTTAATATTTTGCCTCTCTTTTTCTTCTCAGCTCATCCGAAGAGAAGGAGCGCTGGCTCTCAACATTACTGTGGTAAGAGTCGCATCCTTCCCCTCTAGCTATGCTGTCCCTTGATAATCCTTTATAAACAGCTAGGGGGATAGTTTAGATGCTAGATACCCCACTCCCATTGCCTTTCAATGGGTTCCTAATTGCCTTTTATGCATTTGAAAATCCCTTGTCAGCAGCCTCTGCCTTCATGTGATCTGTGAAGGGAGAAGGGGGCCAGTAAGAGAATCTGGGTTACAGTGTGAGCCTTTAGCTGTTACATGAGACTCAAAGGGGCAGGTGACAAAAGCCCACAGGTAAGCATAAAAAAAGGCAACCTTAACAGAGAGCTAGATATTGGGGGAGGGGAGAGGAATGACAAATTACAGTAGGGTTATAGGAGCAACAAGAGGGAAACCCATGGGGGAACCTGCTCAACATCTTAGATGTCTATACACAAGTGCAAGGAATATGGGGAATAAACAGAAAGAGCTAGAAGGATTAGTACATAAGCTAAATTATGACTTCAGTGGCATCACAGAGACTTGGTGAGAGAAATCTCATGATTGGAATATTGGTATAGAGGAATATAGCTTGTACAGATAGGACAGACAGGGAAAAAATGGAGGAGGTGTTGCCTTATACATCCAGAATATATGCACTTGTTCAGAGATCTAGAAAGAAGCGAGAGGCAGACCAGTTGAAAGGCTCTGGATAAAGATTAAAGGGGGGGAAATAGGGGTGATATCATGGTAGGAGTCTACTATAAATAAGGAAGAGGAGGTTAATGAGTTATTTATAGAACAAATAACACAAATATCTAAAACACATGACCTGGTAATAATGGGGGACATCTGTTGGAAAAGTAATATGGCAAAACACAAAATTTCTAATAAATGTAGTGGGACAACTTTTTTGTTTCAGAAAATGGCAAAAAATAACCTGGAGGGCAGCCATTTTAGACTTGATTCTGAACAACAGGGAGGAATTGGTTGCAAATCTGAATATGGAAGGCAATTTGGGTGAAAGTGATCATGAAATGATAAATGTCATGATTCAAAAGAAAGGAAGGAGTGAGAGCATCACAATAAGGACAACTGGACTTCAAAAAAGGAAACTTTAACAAATTCAGAGAACTGGTATAAGGTCTCATGGGAAGAAAATTTAAGGTATTAAGAGTTTAAGAGACATGGCAGTTTCTCAAAGAGACAATATTAAACACACAACTGCCAACTATTCCAATGTAAAAAAAGGAAGAAGAATAAGAGGCCTATATGGTTCCATCAGAAGCTCTTTAATGACCTGAAAATTGAAAAGGAATCCAACAAAAAGTGGAAACATGGACAAATTGCTAAAGAGGAATAGCACAACCATATAGGGACAAAATCAGAAAGGCTAAGGCACACAGTGAATTACATCTAGCAAAGGACATGAAAGACATAAGAATGGCCCTACTGGGTCAGACCAAAAGTCCATCTAGCCCAGTATCCTGTTTTCCAAGGTGCCCCAGAGGGAATGAACAGAACAGGTAATCATCAAGTGATCCATCCCCTGTCACTCATTCCCAGCTTCTGGCAAACAGGGGCTAGGGATACCATTCCTACCCATCCTGGCTAATAGCCATTGATGGACCTATCCTCCATGAATTTATCTAGTTCTTTTTTTAACCCTGTTATGGTCTTGGCCTTCACAACTTCCTCTGGCAAGGAGTTCCACAGGTTGACTGTGCGGTGTGTGAAGAAATACTTCCTTTTATTTGTTTTAAACCTGCTGCCTATTAATTTCATTTGGTGACCCCTAGTTCTTGTGTTATTAGAAGTAGTAAACAACACTTCCTTATCTACTTTCTCTACACCGGTCATGATTTTATAAAAAGAGCAGGAGTACTTGTGGCACCTTAGAGACTAACAAATTTATTAGAGCATAAGCTTTCGTGGGCTACAGCCCACTTCTTCGGATGCATCCGAAGCATTAGAGCTTATGCTCTAATAAATTTGTTAGTCTCTAAGGTGCCACAAGTACTCCTGTTCTTTTTGCGGATACAGACTAACACGGCTGCTACTCTGAAACCTGTCATGATTTTATAGACCTCAATCATATCTCCTCTTAGATGTCTCTTTTCCAAGCTGAAAAGTCCCAGTCTTATTAATCTCTCCTCATACGGAAACCGTTCCATACGCCTAATCATTTTTGTTGCCCTTTTCTGAACCTTTTCCAATTCCAATATAACTTTTTTGAGATGGGGTGACCACATCTGCACACAGTATTCAAGATATGGGCGTACCATGGATTTATATAGAGGCAACATGATATTTTCTGTCCTATTATCTATCCCTTTCTTAATTATTCCCAGCATTCTGTTCACTTTTTTGACTGCTGCAGCACATTGAACGGATGTTTTCAGAGAACTATCCACAATGACTCCAAGATCTCTTTCTTGAGTGGTAACAGCTAATTTAGACCCCATCATTTGATATAAAAGACAATAAGACGGGGTTATTTAAATGCATTAGGAGCAAGAAAAAGACAAAGAAAAAGGTAGATCCTCTACTTAGTGGGGAAGAAGGGCTAATAACTGATGACATCAAGAGGGCAGAGATGTTTAATGCCTATTTTGCTTCAGACTTCACTAAAAAAATGTAATAGTGACCATATACTCAACATAATTAATATTATCAACAAGGGGGAAGAAAGGCAAGCCAAAATAGGGAAAGAACATTTTAAGAATATTTAGATACGTTAGATGTATTCCAGTTGGCAGGGCTGGATGAAATTCATCCTACAATTCTTGAGGAACTAGCTGAAGCAACCTTGGAACCGTTAACAATTATCTTCCCATGGAAGATGGGTGAGGTCCCAGGCAAATGGAGAGGGGAGACATGGGAGGGGGAGAGGCGAAGGGTCACCTGCCCCTCCCCAATCACCTGGGGGAGGGAAGGGGAGCAAGAGGCCAGCAGCACCCAGGAGTCAGAGCTTGAGTGTGGAATGTGATGAGTTCTGTGCTGTTAACACCTTCTGCCCTTGGAGCAGGGAGTTTGTTTATAAACAGAGGCAGGGTGATTAAGATAACAAAAGGCTTGTCATTAAGTTTAATTAAGGATTGTTAGATGATCCTGAAAACATTCCCAGATAAAAGACAAGAAACAGAGGGTAGGAATAAATGATCCATTTTCAGAATGAAGAGAAGTAAATAGAGGTGTCCCCAGGGGTCTGTACTGGTCTGGGATCAGTGCTGTTCAACATATTCATAAATGATCTGCAAAAATGGGTAAACAGTGAGGTGGCAAAGTCTGCAGATGACACAAAATTACTCAAGATAGTTAAGTCCAAAACAGACTGCAAAGAGTTACAAAGGGATCACACAAAACTGGGTAACTTGGCAACAAAATGGCAGATGAAATTCAATGTTAAATGCAAAGTAATGCACATGGCAAAATATAATCCCAACAATACATACAAAATGATGGTGCCTAAATAGGCTGTTACCCATCAAGAAAGAGATCTTGGAGTCATTTGCAGCATTATGTTTCCAGAGTACCGCAAATGTCCTTCTCACTATGCCTGTATCATCCTGAACTCATTCTCCAGCATCAGAAGACTTAAAAATTATCTCCAGTCATCAATGGGACAGATGCAACAGAATACTGTAGCTGTCCTTAACATGCAGGTCACATGGGAGGTCACGTGCCCCCCTTTAGCTGGTCTCCCCCTTTGTGTCCCTCCAACGTGTCACCTAGAAAACTTAACTTTGATACTAGAAGATATTGGAGCAAATTAAACAATCAATTTGTAAGCCTCTAAGGGACAATAGGGTTATAAGGAATAGCCAGCAAGGATTTGTCAAGAACAAATCATGCCAAACCAACCTAATTTCCTTCTTTGACAGGGTTACTGACCTAGCGGATAGTGGAAAAGCAATAGACATGATATATCTTGATTTTACCAAGGCTTTGACACAGTCTCACATGACATTCTTATAAGCCAACTAGGGAAATATGGTCTAGATGAAAGTACTAAGGTGCTTGCACAACTGGTTGAAAGACCAGACTCAAAGAGTTGTTATCAAACTGGGAGGGTGTATCAAGTGGGGTACCACAGGGATCAGACCTGGTATTAGTCAATATTTTCATTAATGATCTGGGTAATGGAGTGGAGAGTATGCTTATAAAATTTGCAGATGACACCAAGCTGGGAGGGGTTGCAAATGCTTTGAAGGGCAGGTTTAGCATTAAAAACAACCTTGATAAATTAGAGAATTGGTCTGAAATCAACAAGATGATATTTAGGAAAGACAAATGAAAAGTACTTCACTTAGGAAGGAAAAATCAAATGAAAAACTTCAAAATGGGGAATAACTGGCTAAGCAGTCATATTGCTGAAAAGGATCTGGGGGTAATAGTGGATCACACTGAATATGAGTCAACAATGTGATGTAGCTGTGAAAAAGGCTAATATTATTCTGGGGTATATTACAGTAATGTTGTATATAAGACACAAGATAACTGTCCCACTCTAGTTGGCAATGCTGAGGCCTCAGCTGTAGTACTATGTTCAATTCTGGGCACCACACTTTAGGAAAGATGTGGACAAATTGGAGTGAGTCCAGAGGAGAGCAACAAAAATAATAAAGGGTTTAGAAAACCTGACCTATGAGGAAAGGTTAAGAAACTGGTCATGTTTAGTTTTAAAAAAAAAAAAAACTATGTGGGGGACCTGATAATAGTCTTCAAATATGTTAATGGCTGTTATCAAGAAGACAGAAATCAATTGTTTTCCTTGTCCACTGAATGTAGAACAAGAAGTAGTGGGCTTAATTTGCAGCAAGGGAGCTTCAGGTTAGATATTAGGGAAAACTTTCGAACTATAAGGGTACTTTAGCTCTGGAATAGGCTCCCAAGGGAGGTTGTGGAATCCCCATCACTGGAGGTTTTTAAGAACAGGTTGGACAAACACAGGTCAAGGGTGGTCTAGGTTTACTTGGTCCTACCTCAGCACAGGGGGCTGGACTTGTTGAGTTCTCAAGATCCCTTTCAGCCCATCACTTCTATGAATCCATGACTATATAGAAAAAGCCCCTTAGAACACAGATGGGCAGGTGGATGGGTGGATATAATGGGGCTTCTAGGATTGAACAAATCTTCTAAACCAATTTGTCTCAACACAACAGGCCTTGTTTCCTCTCAATTCCTTGCTCATAGGCACTGACTTCCCAAGCAGGAGGCTGGGATCTCCTCTCCAGTAGAATGGTCACTTATGCTCCTTCTGTTGAGAGCAGAGTTTGGCCCAGATAGTCCAAACAATGTCCCCAACTGTCCTAGAGGCAGTTGACACTCCTAGGTCACCTCTATTCTCCAAATAATCCACAATACATTCTGATTTTTGTCATATCCAATCCATTCTCTATGAGGTTAGCATCGATCGGGATCTCCTGTTGTGGGATTAACCAACACCCTCAACTTGAAGAGGTCACTTTTTGATAGTTGCCTCATTGGGTGTTAAGTTGCATTTGCTGTAGTTATTTTCTCAAACTCTGTTTTGATGTGATTGTTTCTGTTTTTTCCACCCCCTGATTTTCAGGCAAATCAATGAGATGAAACAGAATGAATATCCAAAAAACCTACCGGTCCAAATCCTCCTTCTGGATGCTGACAACTGTACTTCTGTGAGTAAAACCGAGAACCCACGCATCAGACCAACACTGCATGGAGATCTGGAGTGGGTATGGGGAGGCTGTTACGCTGATAATGTATCCAGCATCCTTGCTAAAGTAGCTAGGCCAGGGGTGGCCAACCTGAGCCTGAGAAGGAGCCAGAATTTATCAATGTACATTGCCAAAGAGCCACAGTAATACATCAGCAGCCCCCCATTACCCCCCCCCCCCCCCCCCCCCCCCGCTCCCAGTGTCTCCTGCCCACCGGCAGCCCCGCCGATCAGCGCCTCCCCCTCCCTCCCCGCACCTCCCGATCAGCTGTTTTGTGGCGTGCATTTCATGAGTCCCACTGGGATTCTGTGGTTTGCATTTCCATTGTGTTACTTTTGTGTGCCGTGTTAGAAAAGTGATAGAAAGAAGGTGGTGAGCATTGTTGTTCCATTGTAATATAATTGTGCTTAGGAATGATCCTACCGTATTCCCAGGTTGGTCCAAATCTTCCACATCCAATAAAAATACCAGTGTATTATCAAGCTAATAAATTAGTGGTAAACCCTGACCTTCATGGTGTTATCGTTGCTTCATGTTTGGCAGTGTCAGACACTACCCTGCCTAAACAGATGACAAGAAAGTAGCATCTTGCCTTGATTTTCAAGCCATGTGACAATGTTACCAAACCTCAACCCTCGCCATTTCCAGCCCATTAGCTTTCTAAGTACTCTTTGTCTTCCTTGCCTAGACCACTACAATAAATGTGTCCAACACAGAAACGGCAGACAATGTGATCAAGAAGACAGCTAATCAGCTTGGACTTCCTGTAAGTAGCCACTGCACATCCTGCCAGATATTCTGTTGGAAAGTTGGCAACATCTGTTTTACAGTACGGTACAGATATGGTGGAATCTGGTAAAAATGGACAATGACTGGCTCTAGCCATTAGAACACTAGTATTCTCCAGACTACAGAGAATATGTTTGTGCAGATATAAAGCTTTATAAAAACACACATCCATGTAATAGACCAAATTTGTGTAAGTAGATGCAACTCCATTGATTTCCAGAGACTTATATCCACTTCTACCAGAGCTGATCTTGGCCAGGAATCTCCAAACAGTTATGAATAAAGCTGTGAAATTACTGAACAAATCATTGCTAGTATCAGCTGAGCCTTTGCTAACAGTAGCGGTCCATCACAATATTGAAGAGAGGCAAAACAACATCCCAATAGATTAATGCCAAGGGTAGCTGTGCAACACATTGACTATACATTTATGTGACGCCTCATTTCTTATTAATTATTAAAGAAAATCATTCCTATGGTGTCATAAATTAACATGCAACTTTACATATCCATAGCTAGTCATGTTCCTTGCCTCAGAGAGCTTGCAATCTAAGGCAGAAATGAATATTTTATCTCTTTCTTCAACTTGCATAATGAGTGAACACAAAATATTATGCAAGCATGGTTGCACTTCATTATGCAAGCTGGTGGGAGATTGGAAATACTTGTGTCTGTGTGAACTTGAATAGCAATATTTGTAACCTGACATGTCAGTCAAGGCAAAACATAGAAACCTTCTGAACTTGAAGCTCGTACTGAGTGTTGCACTCACCCCTTTGTAGCTAGTAAATGCCACCATTCCTGAGGGGTCTTGGAATTGAGTGATGATGTCTGATCAATATGTCAAGAGATTTCCTGAATCTGAGTCTTCTATGTGGATGTTGGGGAAACCCTAGTTTGTTTTCATCCTTCTGATTACCTTTCTCTCCCTCTCCTGAACCTTTCACCTTCCTCTGCATGTCAGACAAACAGATTCTGAGAGCTTATAACAAGGTTGTTTTCCCAGATGTTTACAGCTATTCATTTCCTGACTCTTGGCCTGTTCCACTGTTACCTCTTCCAGTTGTTTTGTATGCTGTGTCCAGCTGCTCCAGTCCTTCTTTTCAGTCCTTGGCCCCCTTTTATATTTTTCCCTTCTGTTCCTCAATCCACAGGGTAGACCAAGTGACTACCACCTCTGGGTGATATCAGGAAAGGATGACCCTGCTTATCCCCTTATTGGTAAGAGCACTTCCATTTTTCATGTAGGTATGCCAGCATGTAGGTGCTGATGTAGCAGGTCAGTGATGATGATGATACTAATAATGTTGATCACTGAATAAGGGAAGCGTCTCTGTCTCTTTGCAAAATCCATCTCAACCTGCATGTTGACTCTTTAAAGATCTGTTGTTGCACTCACAATCCATTGTTAAGAAATGCTGTGCACCCCTGGGTGTGAGCTCTTGGCATCTGTCTACCACTTTCAGTTGCTTGTTCCACACACACACAAAGGACTTGCCAGATTGGACTCTATCAATCAGGGCTGAGCATCTCCCACTAGGTCCTGAGTGCCTTCAGCTATTATTGACTTCTTGGGGAGCAAATCACACCCTAAAACCTAAAGCATAACAAGGGCTGCATGTAGCATGTTGCCTTAGATGGTAGCAATGGCTTTCAGTTTTGCAGGGGAAGCAGGTCTTGGCAGGTAGGTAAGTGAAGGAAGAAGTGTTTTAAAATGTATTTGTTGGTGACGTTTAAGCCTGCTATCAAGAGCCCAAAGTATTAATCTTTCTTGTTTGATATTTAATTTTCAAAGCAGTCCAGCTCAGATTTAAAGAAATTGTTTTTCAGGCAAGAGGTCATAGCCCATTAAGTAGACGGTTCATTTCACAAGGCTTTTTGTGTTGCTTTAGTCTGAATACCCACTCTAATCTGAAACCGATCTCACAAGGAGACACAGGGCATTTTGGGAAATGTCCTTTGCAAATTGTTTATTTGAAAAGTTCCTTTTTTTTACAATTTCTGTTTAGATTATAAAAACTTTGGGAGGTTAGAAGGAAAATAAATGTGCATATTGGGGTTTCAGAGCCAGGGCACTATCAGGGCTTTACGTGAGATGATTTCAGAAACTCATCACCACCAAACAAAATAAAACACAGTGTTTTGTCTTATTAATTCCAGGCATTAATCTTAGAAAGTACCGAAGCTGAAGTTTGCAAAAAAAATATTTTTTTCATATTTGCATCATTGGCAAAAACAAGACAGTGAAGTAAGATTAAATGTACAATTAAAATTAGACATGGTATTTACTTTGGCAAAGTGTATGAAACAAGTCTCTCCAATCTTTCCCATAGCAATTCATAACAAATTCTATTATTATGTATGACGCTGTGATAGAATCATATTTAGGGAAGGGCCATTTGGATAAAATAAGAATCAAACCTAACCTGAACTTTTTCTGAAGTTCAAAAAACTTAGGTTATTTGTTTTAAGTTTTATTTTAATATATGTTCAAATCTTTGCAGTTCCTGTCAGAGACCAGAATCCCCAAAATACCAGAAAGTACACTGTCCTCCTGATACTTTTAACATGACCAGAGCTATGAAGTACTGATCCTTTTGAAAGAGACAGGCTGTCCTTGTGCTACTCTCGTAAACACAATCAGAATTCTATATGTGATCTAGCAATGGGGAGGGAACAAAGAATCACTCTGTGTTATGGTGTGTTACACAATGTCCAGATCAAAGTTGCTCTGAAGCATCTAAACCAGTGCTTCTCAAAGTCGGGCTGCCGCTTGTTCAGGGAAAGCTGCTGGCGGGCCTGGCCAGTTTGTTTACCTGCCACGTCCGCAGGTTCAGCTGATCGCGGCTCCCACTGGCCACGGTTCGCCACTCCGGGCCAATGGGGGCTGCGGGAAGGGCGGCCAGCACATCCCTCGGCCCGCACTGCCTCCCACAGCCCCAATTGGCCTGGAGCGGCGAACCGTGGCCAGTGGGAGCCACGATCGGCCGAACCTGCGGACGCGGCAGGTAAACAAACCGGCCCGGCCTGCCAGGGGCTTTCCCTGAACAAGCGGCGGCCTGACTTTGAGAAGCACTGATCTAAACTGCGGGTTGCATATCTGAACAGAACTTTTTAAGGTCCAAGCATCATGCCCAATATTTTGACCATTACCCTGAGGGCTGAACTGATGATTAGCTACCTAGGCTAAATCTTTTGAGGTTCAACCATAACATGTAATGGCTTGAGTGGTACCTCAATGGACAAGTTTTGCACTTGGATACACAGTCAGCTTCCAGTGATGCCTGTCAAAATGTATTTCTTATGCAGCGTAGTTGCAGAAGTATTGGTCCCAGGATATTAGAGAGACAAGGTGGGTGAGGTAATACTGTTTATTGGACCAACTTCTGCTGGTGAGAGAGACGATCTTTCAAGCTACACTGAGCTCTTCTTCATTTCCCAGACCTGAAGAAGAGCTTTGTGTAGCTTGAAAGCTTGTCTCTCTCACCAAGAAAAGCTGGTCCAATAAAATATATTACCTCACCCACCTTATCTCTCTAATGTGTATTTCGTCATTTTAAAAAATAGTTACTTTCCCACTGTTGCTGAAATTGAGATGTGGTTTCCTTTCTGGATTAATTCTCCTCTAGGGTTTGAACACACTGGTTTGTTATTGTAGACTTGCTCTTAAGAGCTTGTTGTCATCGTAAGATTGTATTGTAGGGTTATTTATGAGCACTTAGCAGCACACATTGGTTTGTGATTGTTGGTGTTTCTCGCAAGTGCTGTCTGAGCATGCTTATTTGTTACGGTCATTAGTGAAGGGAAGCACCTGCTGGACTTTTATTGTAGGGTAGCGTGTGAGCACAGGGTAGTGAACGTTAGTATAGGCTATGTACACCAGTTGGTTGATTGTAGAATACCTCGTGAGCACAGGAATTCACACACTGGATTGCTGTTGTAGGGTAGCTTGTGAGTAGAGGGACACACATTCTGGTTTGTTACATAGAGGTGTGCACATAGAGTGTTATCTAGGGTGGCTAATGAAGATTGGGCTGGTGGCTTTTGACTGATTGATTGATTTTAAAAACAGTCCTGACATATTTATGGAGTGGTTGGGGGGAATGTAAATAGTGACACCCCCATAAAAACACAGATGTGTGCCCAAAGGTAGATGGATCAAGCTTGATGCATGTCCCTTTGGTGTCTGTTTAAAGTAAATAAAATTATATTGTCTTTCCAAATGAGATTGTATTCACATCTGATAATGTGAAACTATTAAGAAAACAATTCTCCCCACCCTTCAGTGCATACATACACATGTGCTCACACACGCAGCAAGAGTCAGCCTCCATCCTTCAGGAATCTTTCTTGTATCTCCAATGGCCAGTATTATAATGGGTTACCAAATCCAGGAAGGTTTTAAAGTAAACTTTCCACTGCCACTACAAACAAACAAGCTGAGAATGGGTGACTCAGAGAGGGGTGTGTGTTTAGTAGATAGTGCACTGGTCTGGGAGTCAGGAGAGAAGGGGAGGGTCTATTCCCAGCTCTGCCACTGGCCAGGTGTGTGACCTTGGACAAGTCACTTTGCCTCTCTGTTTTCCCTCCCACCCTTGTCCATCCTGTCTGTTCATGTAACTCCAACAGATCCCGGTCATCGGCAGACAGGATCAAACCTGGGGTCGCTGAAGCTAAATACATGAGCTTCAAGCCATATGGCTCTTAGCTAGGGCTGTAAAGTAGACTCATTAATCTCTCTCTAAGTGGTCTCAGTGTCACTTGATGGGACAGAACACCACACCCAGGAGGTGTGTGTGTTACATTTAAACTGTAAACTCTTCACAACAGGAATCATTTCTCACTATGCATTTTGTGCAGTGCCTAGCACAATGGGCCTCTAAGCACTACTGTAATTCAAATCTTAATAATGATGTGTTCCTCTGTATTCAGATTTGGGAAGGCTGAGGCATGAATGCCTAGTGAGGCCATCCAGCTTATCCTTCCAAAATATCATTTTAAATCTAAGAGTTGCTGCATTGATCTTTACACTCCTGTCTGTGTTCTTCAAGGCAACTTCTCACATCTGAAAAAGCAACTGAACCTTCACTTTTATCCTTCTCCTTTTTTCCTTAGATTTCTTTTCCCCTAGTATCAGAGGGGTAGCCGTGTTAGTCTGAATCTGTAAAAAGCAACAGAGGGTCCTATGGCACCTTTAAGACTAACAGAAGTATTAGAGCATAAGCTTTCGTGGGTGAATGCCCACTTCATCAGCAGTGGTGAAAGGGCATTCACCCACGAAAGCTTATGCTCCAATACTTCTGTTAGTCTTAAAGGTGCCACAGGACCCTCTGTTGCTTTTTCCCCTAGTGCATGTCATGCTCGTCTAAGTTCCCTCTAAGCTGCGTGGCCATGCAGCAGCCTATTAAGCCCCGCGCAGGCACTCGGCTGCGGTGAAGAGAGATGCCTCTTCCCCAGCCCAGGACCTGCCACAGTGGGGAGAGGTGCCCTTCCCTCAGCTCCGCCCCGGAGCTGCTGCAGCCGGAGGAGAGGCTCCTATCCCGCAGCCCCAGCCCTGGAGCTACCGTGGCAGGGAGAGGCACCTATCTGCCCCAGCTCAGGTGCTGCTGCGGGGAGAGAGAGCTGGGGGGAGTCCTCTCTCCCTGCTGTAGCCCCGGTGCAGCCTGCACCCCAAACCCTTCATCCCCGGCCACACCCCCAGAGCCTTCACCCCCAGCCAGAGCCCTCATCCCCCCTGTCCCCCCTGCACCTCAACCCTCTGCCCCAGCCCTGAGTCCCCTCCCACGCTCCGAACCCCTCAGCCCCACCCCCACCACATGAATTTTGTTATGTGCACCAATATGGAGGTGATATGTCACACATCACCTCCATATTGGTGCACATAACAAAATTCATTCCGCACATGCATGGGAAAAATTAGAGAGAACACTGGTGCTCGTGCAAGGTTCTAGGCTGAAACCCTCTTCAGTCAAACTTTTCTCTTTACTCCAGAGCATGTGCAGCATTGGCACAGCGGAGCCAATTGGCTTCCCCAAATCCTTGCCACTCAGCAGTGCACCTCACCTCTGACCTAGAGGAAAGCACATCAAGGAGTAATAGCAGGGGGGGAGGGATAGCTCAGTGGTTTGAGCATTGGCCTGCTAAACCCAGGGTTGTGAGTTCAATCCTTGAGGGGGCCATTTAGGGATCTGGGGCAAAAATCTGTCTGGGGATTGGTCCTGCTTTGAGCAGGGGGTTGGACTAGATGACCTCCTGAGGTCCCTTCCAACCCTGATATCCTATGATTCTATGATTTGATTCAGGGCTCAGTCTCCATGGCCCAGTCAGTCCTTGGGCTCTCTGATGAGATTGCCACCAACTCACTGCTGTGGAAGTTGTGAGATGTGGATGTCTGACCACTACAAACCAAACCGGGTCCCCTAATTTCTTTCACAGCGTGAAATTCATGAATTCTGCATCCTCACCTGGTCTTTCTGTGGCTCTTGTCGCAACAGGTCATGAGCATCCTTTCAGCATCATACTGAGCTGCCTCCGAGACTCTGTTGACCAGCACCAAGGAACCAACAACAACACACTCCTAGCTGATGGGACGGAGGCTACCATCCTAGATCAGCTTCCCAAGGACAGGCAGTGTCAGTTCATCCTGAAACCCAGACCCCAAGCTCCAAGGCAGCTGAGGAGAGGTGAGAGCCCGGATGATACCGTGTGTCCCGTCAAAGGACTTGGGAGCCCTCCCTGTGGCAGTTACTGACTTTCTGTTGCATTGTGTTTTTATTTTAGAGAGAGACTCTCAGCTTGACTATATCTGCAGTGAAAGGAGGGTTGATTTTGTCCCTTCATAAATCAGAGCCTGTTCCTGCTCCCACTGAATATACATTGACTTCAGTGGCAGCGGCACTTCACCCTTCACCATTACTTTGGCTCTCGGTACCAAATTTTAGGTACTTGATTAGCATTCAACAGAAAGTTACGCTCCCCTTGGATGAATTGCTATGCTCCACACACAGCGTCACCAAAGAGACCATATTTAACTCTCTGACCGGGTCATCCCAAGAAGCACAGAAGACATGTTGTCTCTGAGGTCTTTGTTTATTGACTGGCTAATGGTTTACTGAGGCCTTGAACTCAGCATGTAATAGCATCCATGCTAGAGCCATTCAAATGATACAAGAATTATCCATGACAAATGTATTTGCCAATTGACAAAAAATGCACCAGTAGTTTCTCTGATGAATATTATTTGACCCTCTGTAGAGCTGCACACATACTAAAAAAGATGATTCACAGATAACATATTCACCAAGAGATAGAAGAAGTTAGTCACTCAGGGCTGAATGCACAAAAGAAGTTAGGTGCCGAAGTCCGTGTTTTAGACACCTAAGTTCCAGTTTCAGGTTCACTGTGATGAACAAAACTCCTGCTGAACCTTGAAAGTGCCTAAACTCACTTAGCACCTATGTTTTTGCACTAAAGTTCCCTAGGTGCCTATGTTTCTCACTCTGGGCATATGCATGGCTGCCTGCCTGTGGGCATTCAGGGGCCTATCTCCCAACTAAGTCCTGGAGTGATTCTCAAAACAGGGGAAGAGAAGCACTTGCCAGCCTAACTCACCTGATCCGATAGGTGTACTCAGGGGCTGCCTACCAGATCCATAGGTGAGCTTACATGACACAGCAGCCCCCCCCCCCCCATAACATTATTAACCTACAGTGCAACAGCTTCAACTTGGGAGACTGAAGGACTCCCTATATATGGAAAATATCCCACAGCCCAGTGGGTAGGGCACTCACCTGAGAGGTGGCAGATCCCTCTTCAAAGAGGGGAACTTGAACTGTTGGTCTCCTGCATCCCAGGAGAGTACCCTAACCACTGGGCTCCTCCTCTCCTCCATCTCCTGCCTGCGTGTTGCTAAGATGGTACAGGCTTCTTAAATCAAAAGGGGGCTCCCAGCTAAGAATCAGAAACAGAGTTAAGCGCCTCCCTGCAGCTTGGACTTAGGTGCCTATCTCTTAGAAAGGGGTGGAGATTAGTACCCACCCACCCCCACCACTGGCTCCCCGCCTAGCCTGCTGGCTTTTGTGACTTGCATTCTAAGGTGGCTAGCTCTCCCCAGTCATTGTATAGGAGCCTAGGCACCTAACTCAGGTGTTGTGAATAGCAGTGATTTTCCCGGGCCCCTAAAAGTGACGCGTTGTGGCACACAGCATCACAGTGCCTAACTCCTTTGGAGCATTCAGCCCTCAAAGTGCTAGGGAATATGCCCAGCCCTAAGCCACTCACGGCACTGCAGTAAGGAGACACATGAGTGAATGGTGTCCCCAGCATTAAGGCTGCCCAGCCCTTCTTCACCGCAGATAAATTACTGTTGTTATTATTACAAACGTTTATTACGATAGTGCCGAAGGGCCAGCCAAGAATGGGCCCCCATCGTGCTAGACGCTGTACAAACACTTTGTGTGATGGCATGTTTGTGAACTATTTGCCCTGTGGGTTTTCACTGGGTGACTGACCTTACTCTGCCCAGTGTATTTAAGAGACTTCTCCCAGTCAAGACTCCCATATAGTTCCAGTCCATGACATAGGAATTTTGACATTACATGTCACTGTAATAGATATAAATCCATCCGCATGACTCTGGCCCCCACCCTGTGGCTAATGCAGTCCTTGCACAATGAGCACACTGTAACGCAAGGGACTCTTGGCTATTTCAGAATCCTTGCAGAAACATACCAAGAGGAAGAAATCTTTGATTGACTGGGCTTTGCGCCGGACTGCCAGCACCCCCACGGGCAGCCCAGCATCACATTCTCCCCCCACCCCACGGAAACTCTTCGGCCTGTCTTTGTCCTCTGTGTGTCCTGATGGAATCCTCCCCAAGCCTATTATGGTAAGAGGGGGGTTATGTCCTGAATCCCAGCATGAGTTTGAATAGATCATCTAGCCACCCACCTCTGTATCAGTCATCTGTGGTATCTCTGAGGCTCCCGTCACCCAGGTGTGTATGGGGGGGAGGCGGAGGAGTCCTCTCCTGTGCTATAACATTGATTCAGTACTCATTCAACATCATGAACGAAAGCATCCCCTACAGAGTCACCCATAGCACTTCCTGTACCATCTAGGTTTCCTTGAGAATCTCCTATCTAATGCTGACCAGCCTTAGCCCTGCTTAGTTTGTGAGGTCTGACACAATATGGGTTCAGATGATAAACCCTTCTAAATCTATCTTGGGGCTGGGCTTTCTCCTAGGACATGCTGCTTCTGCTGTACCATGAAGGTCCCTCCACAAGGGGCATTTTCAGGCGCTCCGCCAATGCCAAGATCTGCAAGGAACTGAAAGAGAAATTGAACTCTGGAGATGATGTTCAGATGGATGGCGAGTCAGTCTTTGTAGCTGCAGCAGTCATCACTGTAAGTTCCTCCAAGCGATGCTGCCCTCTGGGCTAAAATATACCCTAGCACAGCACTTTGCATTCAGTGAGGGGAGTAACATGATCCTGCCAGCCAGGGGAAAGCATTTTTAATTGGGCACATTCTGCATACCCCACCCCCATCTCATGGCTGGGTACATGTAAGAGAGGAGACATGCCCCTGCATCAATGGCGATTTGCTGCTTTAATGGTCTTTAACATGCAGAAAGGAATATTGGCCCTCAGGCCAGTATCCCTTTTTGTACCTTCTAATCCAAAACTACAACAGAACCTCAGGCAACAAGGGGTTAAACAGATTAGGGCTGTGTCTGCACTGCAGCGTTAACCTGAATTACCTGCATTCAAGTTATTCCTGTTAAGTTAGCCTAGCTCAAGTGCAAGCAGCCACACTGCAGTATAACATTCGAGCTGCTGTGTCCACACGGCACTGCTCTCATTGGCGTATGTCGCTAGGACTTTGGGGAGTTCTTTGTGCTACAGCAAATGGAGCTGCTCTGTGAATTATTTCCCAGTGAATTGTGGAAGAACTTCTGGGAAGGCACTGGAGGACTGAGGTGTAAATGAGATGAGAACAGTTCAGCCTGCACTTGAAATGTGTTCCCAGTTCTCCACTTGTTGGCCAGTCTACGGGGTAGAAATCTCCCCAGGTCACTGTTTGCTTGAGAGGGGGATTCAGACTGATTCCAATTCAAGCCATAAATTAGGCTGTGGAATAGTATCCCAAGGGAAGTGGTAGAAACCCCATTGTTTGGACATTTAAATCTGGACTAGACGAAGCCCTGGCAAATGTACAATACTATGGAGAATAATCCAGCTCTGGCCAATGGATGGATTAGATGGTCCTTTTCCTTCTATGACACACAGACCAAGTCTGTTTGCAGTGCTGCATGCCATGGGGAGCAGGGAGGCCTTGTGGGAATTGATTTGTGTCACGTTTCATTTTATCTTATGTTTAATAAAAATGAACGTTTATGCATCATGAAACAAACGATTCAAAACTGACCAGACTGCTCTGCATATATATATTTAATTCAGGATTTTCTACGAAATATACCTGATAGTGTTCTATCCTCAGACATGCACGGGCTGTGGATGGAAGCCGTGGACACACTAAATCGAGGGCATAAGATTGAAGCCATCAAAAGGTATGTAAATGTCCCACTGTGTCTCTCTTGAGGAGGCATGTATCATTTCCACCCACACAGCATAGTTGCCATGTTCTAAGAGACTCCTCATATTGCTCTCGACCAGCTCACTGCTCTTGTTCCACTGGCTGCTGATGCGTATGAATGCCAGTTGCTAGCAGAGCTGGTCAGAACATTTTCATCAAAACAATTTTTTAGTGAAAGATGTTGACATTTTTGACAAAACTGTTCATGAGATTTTTTTTTCTTTACCAAACCTCCGCCCTGCCCCCTACCAAAAAAAAATCTTTTCTGATGACCAGCCGTAATTACTAGAATTCAAGCAAAGAAAGGACAGTGATTTGGATCTTAGTGGTAACATTGGGTATAAATGGAATTAGATGCTTAACTATGGTGGTTCTTTCTTGCATGCACAAAGGTAAAACGATGGCCACATCAGTGTGATAGTCAGGAAGGAGTAGCCTGCCAGACATAGTATCAGGGACCTGATGAGTTTATTTACCTGCCTCAGACTGGCACCATTGAGCAGGACTTGTCCATTAGCATCACATGGGCATAAGCTATATGTCAAATCTCTTCCTATACCTGGCTCAGCACGGGGGGAAGGGGGGGTTAAAACGGTAAGTTTGGCTGGTCCTCCTTCCCCTCAGATCTCTGTACCGTAGGTCCTAGCAAAGTGCATCACTGTCCGTGCTGCTGGCATTGGTCTGTATGTGTGTCCTCCAGGCATTCTAGCATCTGCTGAGGCACTATGAACTAAAGTCCAAATTTTCCCAGAATGCATTAGACAGCATTCTAGGTAGGTGTGAATGCACAAACATGATAGCAACATAACGGTGTGGTGAACGTAACTCAATCCTATTTGTTGTAGAGGGGTCAGATGAGAGTGTCACAAACAGGTTACAAAAATGCCATTGTACCTGTAGTATAGGCAGGGCTTTTGAAAGTCAATTGTCATTTTTGGGGACCAGGTTTAACAAGCTCCTTGTTTTGCTTTGTTTCTTTTCTCTGGACAGTTTGGTGAAGCAGCTCCCAGAAGCCAACCTCATTTTACTCAGACACCTGTTTGGAGTCCTGCATCATATTGAGCAGAATTCAGGGGAGAATCAGATGAATGCATTTAACCTGGCTCTTTGCATAGCTCCCAACATGCTATGGCTTCCTAGCCCCACTGGGCCTGAAGAGGAAAGCAGGTCTACAAAAAAGGTAAATACTCTTGTGGGATTCTGCCCATGATTTTCTTCCCATCTCCTATGACATGTTCCTCTTCAGCCTACAAAGAAAATATAGTGATAAACTACTTTAGGTAAGTAGTAATTTTAGCTTCACCCCCACCACCCTGTGCAGCTTGTTGTGGGGTGACTTGGCCACCGAGGTTCTCCAAGGATGGAGGCACCAAAAGAAGTCATGATCTGCTCTAACAAATGGACTTCCCTGCTGGACATCTTGTGCTGGGAGTGGCTAGGAGGCAGGGCCGGCTCCAGCATTTCTGCCGCCCCAAGCAAAAAAAAAAAAGCCTCGATCGCGATCGGCGGCGGCAATTGGGAAAAAAAAAAAAAAAGCCGTGATCGGCGGCGGCAGTTCAGCGGCAGGTCCTGCGCTCCTAGAGGGAGTGAGGGACCTGCCACCCCCGAATTGCCGCAGGTGCCGCCCCTCTCCCTTGGCCGCCCCAAGCACCTGCTTGTTAAGCTGGTGCCTGGAGCCGGCCCTGCTAGGAGGGCACTTAGCATCCCATTAGAAGGGAGGGAACTGTGTCCCCATCTGAAATATCTAATAATGGTGGCACCATCCTGCAGAGAGGAACAAATCTAACATCATGACAGAGGCAGAATATTGCCTGTGAGATGATGACAATAATAATTAGGACCACAAGATTTATTGTATCAGCTCACACTATTGGTCCATTTAGTCCAGCTTCTTGCCTCCGGCTATGACTAATACACAAGCATCCAAGCTAGAAGAGGTGCTTCCTAGTTTTCTGAGCCAAAGAGAAGCTTCGGGATTAAGTGTTGCGTTTGTGCAGAGAAAGGCATCATCATATTGTCTCCCTGGGCTAAATTGTCTTGGAGGATAATAGAGGTGGATATATTTTCCCCAGACTGACCCCCGTGTTTCCTCTCCTTTGGCAGGTGGCCATGTTAGTGCAGTTCCTGATTGAAAACTCAGCAGAAATTTTTGGAGGTGACATCACTTCGCTGTTTCAAAGACCAGACAAAGAAAAGTCAAAAAGCTCCGAGGATTTCCTGGGTAAGGCTGTGGCACCTCCCCAGAGATGTCTGGTCACTCACAACCACTGTCAAATGCCTCTTACAAAGAAGACTACAATTCCCACACTCCTTGTCCAGGGGAAACTAGAAGAGGGGACTCGTACTCAGCCAGTCCTTTCCCCTTACTTCCTACCTATGTTTTGACGAGGGCATCGGAGGATGCAGGCACAGCACCTTGGATATGCATCCCTATTTGTCAGGCTTCCCCCTTCTCCATTACCCCGCTGCTGTTTCCAGCTGCTCCAGGTTTGACAGACAGACAATTTGCCTCAGAATTCATGGAGCAAGCACCATTTCCCAACAGCCTTTTTTTTTTTTTTTTAATTGGAACAGTTTAAACCAATTTTCTAAAATTAGACTTGGTAGGTCAGATTTTAAAGGGATCCATGTGCCTCTACTGAATACACACAGACTGTTGTCTAATGATGAGAGCCTGAGTCTTGTGAGCCAGGACTCTGGGGTTCCATTTCCACTTCTGCCACAGACTTGCCGGGTAGCCTTGAGAAAATCATTTCCCCACTCCAGGCCTCAGTTTCCCCAACTGTAAAACACGGTGGATAATTCTCCTTCTGCCTTGCAGAAGTCTTGTGAGAATTAATTAATTAACATTCATAAAGCACTTGAAGATCTTCAAAGGGCAGGTACTCGGTTGTTTCAGTTGTAGTAGTAAATGCAGTAGAGTATGGCTGCACTTTGAGCTAGGGGGGTGAGAATCTGCGATGCTGGACACACACTCAGGACAGCTGGCCTTTCCGCCACTCGCAGCACCACAGCTACCCTCTATTTTTAGTGCACTAGCTTGATCAGAGCTAGCATGGGTTTGTCTCCTCAAGCTGGGTATCACCTCCAGCTCTAAGTGCAGACATACCCTTTGGTACCTAGTTGATAGGCACTTTGGCAGGTAGATAGGAACACAGATAATTATGTGCATTTCTGTAGAATTGCAAAGAGTTAATTTGCATTCTCTCTGCATGTCTTCCCCAGGTATTGGCATGGCTCAGCACAACGATTCCTCTGATGAGATGGAGTTTGCTGCCTGTGACCAGGAAAGACCAAAGCATTATCGCGTGCCTGAAGCCGTCTCCATGTTTGACCCGTCCAGTGGTTTGTTACTTGAAGAGGAGCAGGAAGACTGGGATCTGTTTAGTGAGATCACTGCCTGCTACCAAAGCAAAACCAGGAAGAATGCCAGCGCAGACAGCTATGACCTCCTAGAGGAAGAGGGCTCCTTCTGCTCCATTGACTCGATACGTTCACTGAGTCCTGCGAGGGATCGGTGCTCTTCTGAGCCCAGTGTCTGCCTCAGCTCTCAGCTCCCCGCCCAGTGCCATGAGCCGGTGGCCCGCCAGTCCAGCTGTGATGCCACCATCATGCATAGTCACAATGATTACATCCAGAGGCTCAAGCAGCTGCAGCTGGAGAGCCAGAAGCTGATTGATGAAGGCCTGAGCCCTGGGCTGAATAAGACCAGGCAGAATTTCTGGCAATCACCTCAGAGCAGCTCTAGGGTGAAGAAGCTCAGCCTTCAGAAAACCAGCCTGTCCAACAGGTCCAGCTTCTCCAGCCTTTCCTCGACCACCACTTCCCCTTCAGCCTCCTCACTAAGCTCCTTAGACAGTGCTTTCTCCTACTGCTCTGAGTCCTCAGCCTTCAGCCCCACAGATGTCTCCTCCCTGCCTTTCATGTTTGGCACTTCCACCCGACTCCATGCTTTGTCTCCAAAGACAGCACAGAGGTCCCTGAAAGAATGGAAAAAGCCCTTGACATCTCCTTTGCCCTTGAACCCTTGTGACTTGGACTCATGGAGCAAGTATGAGCAGAGGGACATGGGGAGCAGTCATAGCATTGGGGAAGTGAAGGGCTTTGTGCCCATCAATGGGGCAGCCATGGGAAGCCTGTTAAATGAGAGTGACTGGGAGGACGAGGAAAGACAAGTGAGATGTGCCAGGGGCTCTGGACAAGCTCTCAGAAAACAATGTTATTTCAAGGAGTCTGAATGTAAAACAGACCCCCCCACTCATATCCCAACCAATGAGAGCTCATCAGCGATTGGCCAGCAAGGGCCCAGGGAGAAATCAGTTAAGCACATTGAGATAAAAGGCCCAGAGGTTTCCCCTCCCAGGCAGGAAAGCCTGAAGCGCACCAAGATAACCTTTTACATGGCCCCAAATAAAGGAAGCCCACAGGGGTCTCCAATGGAACAGGAGGATGAGGGTTTCTCAGTGAACGTCCATAGCACCAAATCAAACAGCAGCAGTGACCAAAACACGTCCAAGAGCCAACAAACAGTAAGAGTCCATATACCCCAGACAGTGTTCTATGGGCAGAACACCCCTTTGGTGCTGCAGTCTGTCTCCAGGAGATACCATCACGAAGCAACGAGCCAGCGGCTGCAGGTGGAGTGCAAAGAGACTCCCCAAAGCATTCCCCCTGCAGAGGGGCTGACGGACGATGCTCAGCATGTGGCATCTGCCAAAAGCCACAGGAAGAGCGTCAATGCCTTCAGCCACACCATCCGCATCATCCTCCCGGCCTCCATCCGCAACACCGTCAGGGAATACTTCAAGCATGATGAGGCTAAGAACTGCCATGCAGCGGATGCAGAAGCTGTGGAGAGCGAACTCATCCGGGGCAGGGTGGAGTGGCTCAAAAGCCAACCACACACGGATGCATCTCCAGAGGAGTGCAAGACAGTGGCATTTGCAGAAGAGACATTTGTCTAGGAGAGGAGAGAGTGGGAACTATGACTGTTTTTTATACAGCGTGCTGGGAAAATGTTCTGTAAGATACGATCAAGGTGTGAAGAATCTAACAGACTGTGTGGGTCAATAAGTGTGAAGTGATGCTAACGTGTAATTAATGTTTGGGTTTGGGTTTTTTTTTATTCTTTGCTACCTTTTTTCTACAAAAGGTACTTAACTGACCAGTGCCCAGTGGGCTGAATCCTCCCCTAGAGTTTTAAATTAACTGAATTGTACAGACACCTTCATCTGAATTTCAAGCTCTCCTGATTGTTTTGCCTCAAGTCATAGGGGTGTGTGGGTGAGTGGAGGGGATTGGACAGTGAATTTATCTTACATTTCATAAAAAAATCATGGTGGATCCTTGACAGTGGAGCAAAGCTTTGAGTCACCCTGCAAATTTTTTAAGTTTGTACAAAACTCCACAATGTTGTTAATTTTTTGTCACCAATGTTTATTGAAATCCAAAGTATGATGCTTCACCCCTAACTCAAAATGCACAGCTAGTTCTTCTTTCTCTAACCTTCTTGTCCCCCCATAGTTTGGCTTAAAATTGAAGGGTTTTCTTTGTTGATTGAGGCTGAGATTTCAAAGGCACCTAAGGGAGTCAGTTGCCCAATTCCCATTGAATTAAAGGATTAGGCACCTTGAAAATTGCAATGTTAATCTGCTATCGTGCATCCACTTTCTCTTCTTCTGGCTTCGCCCAGCAAGTATTTGGTGCAGATCCTCAGCTCGTGTAAATGGTTGTGGCTCCACTGTCTTCAATGGAACTACAGTAGAACCTCAGAGTTATGAACATCTGGGGAATGGAGGTTGTTCGTAACTCTGAAATGTTTGTAACTCTGAACAAAATGTTATGGTTGTTCTTTCAAAAACTTGCAACTGAACATTGACTTAATGCAGCTTTGAAACTTACTATGCAGAAGAAAAATGCTGCTTTTAATCCTCTTAATTTAAATGAAACAAGCACAGAAACAGTTTCCGTGCCTTCTCAAATCTTTTTAAACTTTCCCTTTATTTTTTAAGTAGTTTATATTTAATACAGTGCAGTACTGTACTGTATTTGCCTTTTTTTTTTCTTTGCTGCTGCCTGATTGCATACTTTTGGTTCCAAATGAGACGTGTGGTTGACTGGTCAGTTTGTAACTCTGATGTTCATAATTCTGAGGTTCTACTGTATGACAATTTACACTAGCTGGAGGTCTGCTCCTTGGTTCTTCTCAGTGAGTGGCTGGTCCTATATAAGTCTCCTGGAGGAAATAATTATTTCCTGGGGATTTTAACTGATGGTGAAATTTCAAGAACTCCCTTCTGAGGTATAGAGGCAGTGAATGTGGGGATCCTAATTAAATCCTTAACCATTTTTATGAGGAATTGAGTATGGTTTGGTTTTGGCATGTTGTCCAAGGAGTTGTGGAAGTAGTTGAGAAGTGTTGCCGAGTGGATACTGAAGTAAGGTCCTCTCTGGCCAGAAAGCTGCCATGCAGTCCAAGTACTGGACTACATACGGCTGAGAAAACAGCAGCTGTTAGACAGTTACAGCTTCCCCCGAGTAGTGATTAATTCCCACTCAGTGGAGTGCATGCACCAATGTGTTGACTGACTGCAGCAGGCCTGGATCTGGGGATAAGTACAAATGATGTGAGTTTTAGAGATGATTTAATAATGAAGCTGCCAGTGATTCATCAGGACAGGAAACTTGAAAACATAGCCTCAGAGCATCTGAACCACTGTGTTCAATGAGCCTGTCCTGAAATCCTCAGCTAGGTCAGACCCATTCAAACTTGTTTAGAAGTTAAGGATGCTGCAGTTCATTTCCAAAGAGGCTGCCGCCTTCGTTTGATGGAGATTAGGAATCGCAGGTTTCTATAGATGGGAAAAGTTACAAAGGTTAAAGGTTTTTGGATGTTTGGTTGGAATGTTTTGCAGGAGTTTCCAAAGCTGGTCCCCACACTGCCACACCCATCGTGTTAAAGTAAAAGTAGGGAGGACAGAGAAGAGAAAAGCAGAGCCCAAGGAATTTGTGCATCTCTATTCACTGCTTTAGGGCCTGATCCTTCACAGTGCTAAGTGGTTCCTACAAGCTACTGAGCACTTTCCTTTCCCACTGCTGGAGCTGCTCAGCACCTCACAGGATTGGACCCTAATGCAGAGGGCAGTAATGTCTAATCAGTACAAATCACCATCACTGCTCTGATCAACACCCCTGGAAATCACCAGGGAAGAAGCTTGTCCTGTGCTCTTTGGCTGTTCCTGGTAAATTACATGTCATCAGAGGAGAAGGTGAGCACAATAGCGCATTTTCCAAGGTGTACTGAGCTCAATTGGGTACATGTAGCTTTTGACACGATCTGTGGCTCCTCTTATTCCTGGCTCACCTTGATGGCCTTTGCCTGATGAAAGATGTATATAATTGTACTACAAAAATGCCCACCATTGTTTCCCTCACACATGCTCACTGAAGAGATGTTCACCTTCTTTTCCCAAGCTATGGTTGTAATTATTTCAATAAAAGAAACACAGCTTTATTTGTCATTTAATGCCTGGCACACGTCTAGTGGTTCCTTGTCTTTAGTTCTACAGTAGTTAGTGCTGGGTAGAGGCGCTGGATTGATGGTCCTGGGATTGATGTCTTCTCTTGCTCCAGAGTCCATATATGGACTGGGCAGCAGCAATACAAACTTCACAGATTACACAAACACTGAGCCCAGCCCAGCGAGTTGGAAGGCCCCTCCTCCAGGAGTAATGTTGCATCCCCATGCCCATTCTAGCTATCTAGTTCTTCTATAGCCTTTAACACTATAATACCTGAATTCCAATCCAAGGAATGGCCAGACTAGAAAAAGGGCTAAGCATCATGCCAACTCTTCAGTAGGAGGCTACACGTGTCTATGTGACATCTGTTTGTGCCCTTGCTCCTCGCAGCTCTGACTATCTAGCCACAAGAGGAGAGACAAAATGCTGTGATGTCATTGTTGGACATGACGGACAGCCATACAATCTGAGCGCCTTCCCAATGTTAATGCATTTATCCTCACACTATACCTGGGACATAGGGAGACTCAATAAGCTCCCTTTACAGATGGACAATAAAGAGTAAGTGACTTGCCCAAGGTCACTGACCCTCCTTCCTTCCTTCCTTCCTTCCAGCCCTTGGCCTCTCCGTTGAGAAAGGTGTCCGTTGTGTGTTTGTGCTGTGGATGGTTGGTCACTGGGATCTGGACTAAGACCTATTATTTCGTTTCAAAGCGCTCACTGAATCACTATGAGATGACTGGAACTTTAGGTCACCTCGGTTCTAGCGTAGACTTCAGTCAGGCCGCTAAACACTAAATGAGCTCTGCAGTCCAATCGTCTGAGCCATCCAGTATGCTTCAGTTTTATTTTGTAACTGTCACAATTGGGCCAGATTAATCCCTGACAACGAGGCTGTTGCACCAGGGAAGAATTTGGCCATTTCGATTGCTGTGAAGCTGTCATGACCTCTCTCACAAATTACTTTTCACTGACTTATGAAAGCAATCAGAACTATTCAGCTAGTCTGACTTTAGCACTTGACTTTAATCAGCATAGACAATCTGTTTGTTATTCTTTGTGAAGGCTGCACTTTAAGCCCAAGAGCTATTGATATTTGTGTAGAATGGCACAATTTTGGCAGCAGTGGTTCATTTCCACTGCTGATGATTGAGGAAAACAGTTTCTCTTGGCACGTACCCTGGGAGGTGTAGGGAATCACTAGCTTGCTGAAAAAAGTTTAGCAGAACAAGTGTATTATTGCAATGCAATAAAAGTATTGCTATAAGACGAACTGCATTTCTGTGGTGGCTATTGAGAAACTCGCAGAAGCTACAGTGAAATGAGTCAGCCCTTGTCAAAGTGTCCTAAGTTCCCCTTTCACGGCAGGTGAAAAAGTCATAAAAATTGAGAGCAAAGTTAATCTGTACTTGGAGGACCAGAAGTTAATCTGTACTCCAAACAGTTTAATGAATAGTAAACGGGTCTAGTGGCTGAGCTGTTCACAGTCCAAACAAGGAGTTTTGGCAGAACCTCTCAAGCCAGAGCCTTGGCCAAATGCAGAGCAAAAGCTTTCAAGTCTGTGTCACATAAAGACACTAAGAATAATTCTGCTGACACGTCAGCAAGTTTAAAGAGCTAGCATCAAGCTCAGGAGGTGCAAAATAGACCCTTTGCTCTCTTGACCTAGGAATGTCAGGTCTGGGTGGTTCTCCCTGTATATTTTTTCCAAACAAAGACTTGGGGGGTGAGGGGAAGGAGGGAATAGGAGAAAAACTTCCAATAGCTCAGCCCTGTGAAGCAAACCTATAATAACAAGCCATGATGCACCGACCCAGTGTGCTATCAGAGACCAGCATAAGCAGTCCTACGCTGTGAACAACTCTCTATGCTGCCCCACTCCTGTAAGAACTGTATAATGACAACCCTGCATGTGCAGTCCCAGCATCCATAAGCAACCCTACAATAACAACTAGGCCGTGTATGTATGCTCTTCACATTAGTGGGTATCTGTGGTTGCAGTGAGAGAGGCATTCAGCACAATGGGCGGGAACTGACGGTGGGACAGGATTTGCCTCCTTATCTCTGGTGTCTTAACCCTAAAGGTTTTAATATAGTCTCCTTCATAGTAGTGGAGAGCACAGCTGTTTGTGGTCTGGGGACCCAACTGCCCCTGAACCATGGCCAGGACATGTTGTGGGGGGAGGAGTGGGAGTGTGTGGCACGGACCACGTAGCCTTTATTCTCCTGAGCCATGGATGAACCAGCATGGCTGTGGGGTGTGATGCCTCCTCTCTCCCAAGCCTGTGACCCCTTTATAACTGTGACTTTTGAAAGCGTGACCTGTTCGCTATTTTGAGGCCCCTTGTTTCTCCTCACTGAGCTGCCGTCAAGGAAACAAACTCTTTTAGTGTAAACACCCCTGAGGGCCTACAGCCTTTTCCTTTTCCAGGCTACATAAACAATTCTGTATTTGCTGCTTAGCCAGAAAGTTAAGGCAACCCATCCTCTCTCCTCCCCCCTCCACCCCCTCAGCCCCTCCACACATTAGCCTCTGCCAGTTTCACAAGGTTCAACAAAGTCAGAGGCAGCTCAGAGGTCAAGTGGCCACCAAAGCTCCCCGTTAGGGTGGATCACACAACCCCCAGCTTATCCTGTGCTAGAGTTTTAGTGGATTTTCCTCTTGCTGAGGGAAAAACGGTTTGTGGTCACCACAAAGCTTCTGAGAGGCACACTTGAAAGGCGGGAACACGCTGACCCACAGAGATGACTCATATTTGCACTAACTCTGTCCTCGGCTAACACAAACAGGGTGATACCATCAGCCCCCTCCACACCCACCCTTCCGCCACTAGTCAGCAGCACGCGTTTGTGGTCACTTTGCAATGCTCCTACTTTGAAAGGCCACAGCAGACCAAGAGATATAATGGCCGTGCTTGCAACATTTGCACTTCTTTTAGGGTTGCCAGGTGTCCGGTTTTCAACTGGAACTTCCGGTCAAAAAGGGACCCTGGCAGCTCTGGTCAGCACAGCTGACCGGGCCACTAAAAGTCCGATTGGCTGCAGCAGGACTAAGGCAGGCTCCCGGGAAGTGGCGGCATGGCCGGCTCCTAGGCAGAAGGGCAGCCAGGGGGACTCCATGCACTGCCCCCGCCTGCAGGCACCATCCCAAGGAGGCTCCGCAGCGCCCATTGGCCAGGAAGCCATGGCGGGCGCAAATCTGGGGCACCACGGCCAATGGAAGCTGCGGAGCTGGCACTCCTCTGCCTAGGAGCCAGACATGCTGCTGCTTTCTCTGTCCCCAGGAAA